CATATCAAAAGGGATTGATAGATTCTTAGAAAACAATATCTTAACATTATTTTGTTCATGTCAGTTGACTGAAGATTAAAGATTCTGATGCTTGCAATAGGAAACTAAAAGGATTTTTCTTCGAATTATCAGTTTGGCTCGGTGGGTAGCTTGAAGTCGTAGTGGCTGAGATTCTGGTGTAATATTTGTGGAGTTCTGCATTACCAGAGGTATTATCTTTTGTCCAGTCTGCCTTTCAGTTGAACATTAAACTGGTTCCCATTACACTGCTTTTTCTGCTTTTTAGATTAATCGATCAGTCACCTCAAAACTATGGCACTTGTTCTGGATACACAGCTGCTGCTTTTGCTACAAAAGAGTCCCAACACTTGACAGCAAGTACCTGTAGCACGTTGTCATGGTTTAGTGTGATGATGGTATGAAAATGTGAGTTTTTTCATTGGTACTATAAAGGAATATAAATTGGAAGGAATTTAACGTTCCAGGATAATAATAATAATAATAATAATAATCCTTGCATTTGATATAGCGCTTTTCACGTCGGGAGGATGTCCCAAAGCGCTTCACAAAACACACTGTAAAGTGAATTGACTGTATACTTGTGGGCGAACGCGGCAGCCAATTGCGCACAGCAATGTCCTACAAACAGTCGTAGATTGAAAATGACCAATTTATTATTGTTTTTGGTTTGGGAGGGATTATTATTAGGCTCTGTGTGGAGTAAGGAAACTTGCCCAAGGTTTCGGCCTGCCTGGAATTGAACTCAGGTCTCTCGCTTGCAAAGCGAGTGCTCTAACCACTGAGCTACAGGATCCAGGGTCCAGCACTACAGCCTATTTAGAATTGTAGATGGAGCAAAGTCCAGCCTATTCGAAATATGTCAAGACATCTCCCAAAAATACCCAGATTTAATTGATCACATTAAAATTTAATTTTACAATGACATAGGTAAAGAATTTAATTGGTCGTATAAGATAGAATTTTCATATCTATGTGGTAGTCTGGCTTCGGACGCTTAAGTGAAAATATTGTAGGGATCTGGGATTCAAAGTGCATTTGAAGCTCACATAAAACAGCGGTTTGACAGTTGAAAGAGCAAAGCGTTCAGCTGCCAACTCAGAGGGCTCAAATCACAGCCTTGACTGAGACAAACATTCAACCTTCCCCTGAGACTATGCCCATCACCTTCACATGGACTATTTGTGGAAGAGGAGTTGTAAATACTCCAATTCACCTCACTCTGTTCTCTTATGTGCTAGTGGTCAATTGAGGTTCAATAAACATCATTCACGGAAATGTTTACAACTGGATCGTCTGATCTTCCTGATAAAGCAAGCATCCTGTGTAGTGGGGAAGATGTGATTTTGGTTAACAATTAAGAAAAAAGGGCTTTAAAGGGATAAGGTGGAGTCATTACCTACCAAGCCAACCATTACTTTCGCTCAGTGGGCCTGATTCATATCCCTTGACTTACCCACTCCACCAACAACATCAGTCTTTCTCCATATCGGCCCCCACTCTCTGGAACTCCATCCTGGAGTCCTTTTGATTAACCCTCACCATTCCCCATTCCCTACCCCCTTTTTGAGTCCACCTCAAGAACTGCGGTCATCTTTCCCTTCCCCACTCCTATTGGCTCCCACCCCCCACTCAGGTGCCAAACCAGGACTGTGATACTCCTTGGGATGTCTTAGCAACATGAAAGGTGCTAAATAAATGTAAATTTATATTGTATTTTGTTTTATTCCTCTGGTGAAATTGTTCCATTTGGGCATATAATACCATTCGCTCTCTTGCCTTTATAGCAGATGAGGGGCTGAGTGGAGAGAGTCTTTGAGCAGGCGGCACTGCCAGGCCATCACCCATCTCACCACGTGGCTCTCCCACACTCCACCTACAGCAATTGATAAGAGCAAATCAAAGCAACATGTACGAGTTTCAAATAATGGGAAAGTTTGCTTTGGGAAGCAATGAAAAGGATGGAAAATACTCTTGACTAGGTAGAAGGAGGAGGGAATGGGAGGATGTTTCATTAAAAGGTCCAGCCTGTTTGCCAGTTAAATTTTGCAAACAGAAAGCAAAAGACTTGAATAAAACAACTGTTGTGCTGGTGGAAAAACAAGCTGCCAAATGGTTAACATATTCAGACTAAACTATACACATCCCTGCAACACCAAAGGTTCAGCCAGGATTTTTTGGTTCTATGGAAGCAAATTTCCTCATCAAACATGAAAACATCAGGAAGTAGATTTAAATCAATGCATCCCTTCATGTACATAAATGCTCTAAGAATAACTATCTGGATTATAACATTTTAAATAGGATTGAAAAAGTAAACCCATCACAATACTTTCAAATGCAAGGATTTAGTAGAACAAGAAGACATAGGTTTAGAGAATCAAGGGGCAATTACAGGACAGACACCAGGAAGTGTTTCTTTGACCAAAGGGTAATTAATGACTGGAACCATTTACCAGGAAATGTGGTTGAAGCTAGGATACCAGACTCATTTTAAAAATAGCCTGATGCTATAATGGTAGAGTGGGTATTCTGGGAGGATGGGCTGAAGGGCCTTCTTTATCCAAATTGATCTTGGGATCATATGATAAGCGGGCTGAAGCTTTATGTAGTTTAAATGTTTACGAGCTCCCAATGGCTTAACTGAAGTCACTGCTAAAAAGATATGCAGTCTTAAGCTTTATACTGTTGGGAGACAGGCCATAATACCTCCAGCAACATATTGATTAGGAGCAACAAATTTGATTCATACTTCCTGCTCCTATTCATATTGATCAAACCTGGGTAGAGTTCTAAGCAGCTTTGCTAACTGGCAGTTGGTGTTTCTTAGTTTTCTGAAGTTATTAAAGAATGGGTCACCTGATTTAAAGTTATTGAAGAATGGGTCAAGTGTCTTAAAAGTTATTAAAAAGTGGATGATGTGACAGGCTCTTTAATAGCATTGAAAATTATTATGGGGATAAGGCAGGGAAGTGGGATTGAAAGAACAACTTGTTCTAAGAGCCAGTGCAGCCAAATGGCCTCCTTCTGTTCTGTAAATTTCTATGATTCTATGAAATTCACCACTCAAGGTTCTTCAATGGATTGTTTTCTGAGTAATACCCAAATCGAGTCACACCACTTGCATTTATACCACAGCAATCTGAAGCAATGAGCTGATCCAGCATAAACTGGCGGCTGGATTTTGTGTTCAGACTTTCTTTGTTTAGGATATACAGAGTGGGGAATTAATGTTGGAGATAAAGTTGTCACCTGTGATGTGTATATTATAACAACTGGTGATAATTATCATGTCATAGAAAATATCGCCTCACCAATGGGTAAATGTATTGATTAGCATGACCCTCTTTTTATTCCCCTCTCCGCACCCTCTAATTCTACTAGTTAATGGGATACAACTTAATTCAAGAAAAAAACAGAGTTGAGCCAGTTATCCGTGAACTGGGACTCCGAAATCATGATCCATAGGCCTGCAACTCCAATGGCTGTCAAAGGCAACTTCAAACTTCATCGCAACATTGACTGAGCAGAAATTTTCACTGATGTGAGAATTCACACCAGTGAATCCCACTAGAACGCATATTTGACTTCAGTCTTCCAAAGAGAATTGAACAGAAATAATTCAAACCCCTCCAGCAAATTGTGAGCGCATACGTCTGTGGCTGTTATAGATAGAAAAGTGGTCCTGATACCCTTTGAGAGAAGAATGCATGGATTTTTGAAGTGGGAATCTCAACAGTTCAATACCACTGCCTGAATATACTGCAATGTGGAAGCATGCAAGCAGCCTTTGATCCCCGAACGCTCAGACCAGCAAATTAGCAGCTCGTACTCAGAACAGTGAAACATTCCATGAAAACAGGGTAGTTTGAATATATGCGAATTCAGGGCCTTGGGAGGAAAAAGGTTGGTGATCAGTCTGATACATCGCAAGCCTCGTCCTTTGCAGTCATCCACTAAATCCCTGATGAGGTTTCTCACTTATACGGAACATTGCAACAGATTAATTCAATTTGGTAAGAGGCAACAACAAAAAACATGGGAAAGATAGAAACTAGATATTGATAGCAAAGTTTAAAATATTTTACACTCTATTATACCAGTACATAAAAAGAAATAAACTGCCTTCCTACAGTGCAACACTTGAATGTATTGATGCAGAAACAGCATTTCTTTTTTTTCTACAGAATCTGTTTTGCAGTCACTTCTGAGATCCAAAATGTTTCAAAGAAAGATACATTACACCAGTCACCTCTTTGCTAGACATCAGGAAGTTAAAACACAACTCTTGACCACTTCCCATGGCTGGCATAGTGTGACCACATTATTTGTTAAATAAGATTTTCTACAAAGATACAACATATAAAAACTGTTAAATATATAACTTTAGGTTTCTCAAAATACATTTAATGATTCTGTTTTCAACAAATGTTACGTTCTTCTCTAATCTGCTTTCTCTTGTGGTAAATGGTTGTTCAAAGTGTAACACAGGCTGCAGATAACCAGACATGCTCATTGCGAATGTTGTTTGACAGTAGCTACTTTTAAGCTGGAAAAGGAAACAAGAACTGCAAGTGTTTTCACGTGTTTTTCTCTTTTTTTCTGGTTGAAATACAACATGACTTAAGAATAAGAAATAAGTCAGCCAACTAAACAGGAGACACAGATGTCCTCCCAGCATGAGTATTTGAGTGTGTCTCTCTGTCTGTCTGTCTCTCTTTCTCTTTTGTGACAGGACATAAGCTATTATTTTGCCTCCATGCTCCATTAGATCCTTTAGACATCCTTACATCAGACCAGCCTCCCCAGGATCAGAAGTCCCTCTATTTTGTCAATAAAGACATTATCCTGGCCAGTAATGATTTATTTCAGCGCTATGGCAGCTGAATTCATATGCTGCAGGAACCTCGTACAATTGAAACCAATAAAGCTCATTCACAATGAGACTGTGTCCTTTTAACTTTCTCTTTGTGTTCTTTGGTCTATTTTATGAACAGGTAAAGATGAGGAAATAGATGCATGTCAGAGAGAGTTACATAAATAAAAGCACAGTGTCTCTTTTGCATTCTGATGTGCCTCCGCTCTTCTGCAACTCTTGGAGACACATGTTCACTGCCTGTTAAGGGCTGCTAGAAATAGTTCAGTCTTCTCCAAAACAGGCTTTCCGGGTTGAAACATCAAACAGGTAATGCTAGTCCAACACCAGTGGAAAAGTAGGTTACGAGGATCGTCAGCCTCGGCCACTATTGCTGCTTCCCAAGCTTGGCTGTTATCTACATTTCTTGACCCAGTCTCCTAACAAGACAACGAGTCACCTTTTAGCTTGAAAAACATAGGGATGGGATTAAGCCGCTTTGATTGATGTGGAGAAAGAGAGAGTTGAGGAAATAACGTACAACAGATGATGGTCCGCAGCCGTAGAACTTGACTAGAGTAAGTAGCTCACAGAGAGTTCTAAGCTGCTGCTCCTACAAGGAATTGTTGTTGATGTATTTGTCAGGAGACCTGCAAATCAATAAGAATAAATGTTTGAACATCATACTTCACCAACAACTTCTTCATCGCCTAATTAGCCGCACAAACAATTTCAAAGGAAAGCATCAATCATCTTAAAAATGTTACTGTCTCAAATGGTTTCAAACCAGAAACATCTTTTACTTTGCACTGCACGTCAAACCATAAAAAAGCAACAGAAAAACTAAAAAATTGTATCAATTAGCCAATATGTCTCAGAAAGTCTCCATCATGTGTTTTGTTTCCCACGTATATATAAAAATAAAATAACAGCACATTTGAAACAACTGTAATAAGACTATAATTTTATATAGTGCTCTGGTCAGGCTGCTCCTAGAGTACGTACGGCATGCAGTTCTGGTCACCATGATATAAGTGGGCAGCTCAGGTGCTGGAAGCAGTGCAAAGGAGAGAAACAAGGATTATTCTGTGATAAAGGAATGAGCTACCTGTGACATTCTTGTCTGTAGGGTTCAGTTTTACAGCAGCAGTATATTTTAGCCATTGGGCCTTGGGAAAGCTTTATCTATTAACTACTAGCAATTCAAATATAGTCCAGACTCAATTGTTCTTTGAAAAAAATTAACATTTTCCTGGTCCGTGTTTGCAGGGCCCTCTGGTGGCTAACTATGACATTGCAGTAGGGATTTGTAAAATCGATAACTGGAAATAGAATTTAATAATAATAATAATAATCCTTGCATTTGATATAGCGCTTTTCACGTCGGGAGGACGTCCCAAAGTGCTTCACAGAACACACTGTAAAGTGAATTGACTGTATATTTGTGCGCGAACGCGGCAGCCAATTGCGCACAGCAATGTCCCACAAACAGTCGTAGATTGAAAATGACCAATTTATTATTGTTTTTGGATTTTGGAGAGATTATTATTAGGCGTGTGGAGTATGGAAACTTGCCCAAGTTTTCACCCTGCCTGGAATTGAACTCAGGTCTCTCGAGTGCTCTAACCACTGAGCTACAGGAATTTGACAAGGTTCAATAAACCATGTCAGCTCTCAATGAACTGTAATCGTGAAATTAATTGATATGTTCCAAGAGGCACTACCTGCTACTAATTCTATTCCCAAGCATTTTGTATTACCTACAATTGCCTCTTCAAATGCCTCAACATTTCTGTAATGTTACTGATTGTTACAGCAACTGATGGCAAAGGTGTATTGTTGTATACTATTGGATTTGCAACTGAAATTAGTTTGTACTATTATGGTGCTAAGAAACTGTTGAATAGTTTAAAGTTCCAAAGACTCGGTGCCCAAACGTATCACATAGCAATTTAGTAAATACAATAAATAGACATTTTATTTACATTTCTTTTTACTCCGATATATGACTAAGTATAAAAGAAACATTGATATTTCACACCTGAGCCTGTGGCAGTGTAAGGCACATTGCAGTCAGCAGCACTGGTATACTCACTGATAGGATTTGGATAATGCACTCTCATCCCAGCTTCTGACAAGCATCCATCATTGCAACATATGTCACAATACATGTTAAAGTAGGATAGTTTCAATATCTTACACTTCTGGAGAATCAAGACCAAGGCTGAAGGAAGCCTAGATTGATTTAAAGCCTATTCATCAGTAAATTCCCTCAGTATACAGTAACACTCGATGGAATACTTGTCGATATATCACAGTCATGGTATCACCTGCATTATTCAAAGTCTCCTCATGGGCAAAGGTATCTTGTAAAATATTCACACAATAATACAGGTTTTGCATAAGCCAAAATGTAATATTAGGTAACAGGTCTGCCATATAAAATAAAGCCAGACCTAATATTGCAAAAGCAATTTGTGGAACAGGGTTTAAAGTCCATGTCAAATCTGCCTCTGTCATTCTGTTTAGTATTGTGGTTCCTGCAGTATACATTATTCATATAACTTGTATGTAAGCGAGTCTCTGATGGAGAAGTCCCATCTGAAATTCCAAATGTACAGTCAGGGGTGTGGGACTCTATATTATTACAAGTTTGGATAACTTGGTGCTATATATTATAGATGGCACTTCTTATCTAACTTGGGACATAGGTCAGAGCTTATAAATCAGATGTAAGCCTGATAAGGTCAGACATGTGGTACGGTTTATTTTTGGGGTCAGCCGGGTGTCCGATAAATGCAGAAACCCATCACATTACTTAAGAGTATCCAAACCAAACTGAGAGTTCCATGCATTCCACCTACACATTGAAATTCCAAAGATGTTTGTTGGAATGAAATGCGCACTCTCTCCCTGGAGGGATACATCCTGCATACCTAATTCCGGAAAGTATTAGGTGCAGGAGACACCAGAGTCTGCATTGGGGTACTGATGGAATCTTACCAGCTAAAACCGCATAGCTTGCCATTGAGGGCACTGCCTGGCAAGAGCTTTGTCTTGCAGGGTCAACGGGAGCTGAATTCAAGAGTCCCAGGCAGTGTCTGGTCTGCCCTTTCAAGTCCTGCTGATGAACCAGGTGCTATCATCAGTGGTGCCCTGGAGAACTGTGGACTTGACTGGCTCAGTAACTGGAACTGAAGTATGGTGACCACCCCAGAGGATTGGCTCGATTCTGACATTCTGTTGCCAAACATGTCACCTTGGGACCAGTTCCATCCAAGGAGATGCCACTTACCCCCCACCCCCAGAGGAAGTGAGGTTTACACTAGCTCAAGAAGATAACGTGCGCTCCCCCCACTTCCCCCCAGATTATTGAGACACAAGTTCCTTGTGATTGCATAAATATTGATCTACTAAGTGAACGAAAAAGCAACACTGCCAATACCAGCACCAAAGCCACCTGTGTTGGCACAAAATCCATTCAGGCAGTAAGACATTAAACATAGCTCAGTTTCAAGAGGAAAGCAACTCACACACCTTCACTCTGACCCTCAGGCAGTAGAATTGATCTCAGACCTACTTATTCTTCTGTTAAATCAGGTTTGCATAAGAGTGGAAAGAGAATGCAGCCAAGAGTGTAAAAACTTGCAAACACACATGTACAAGTAAAAGAATAACTTAGTTTGTTTTCTAACTACTTTCAGCAGTAGCAGATAACAATAGATCTGTTGGAGATTGACTGACTCTTGGAAATGTAATAGCTAGGGTTTAAAAATATAACTTGAATCAATGTTGTAATATATAAATAGCAGCAGCCTGTTTTTAAATATAATGAAAGAGATTGTTTTTTTTAAAAAAATGGAGTTTGATCATTTCATTCATCCAGCAAACTTTGCAATTTGAACAAAACAGTATGCTATTTGTAAGTTTCTGAAATGTAAGCTGAATGCCAAAGCCCATTTGTTTTCCACATATCATTTGCAATATGAAGTGGAAGCATGAATAAGTACGTTTTTCAATGAGTTTTATTCATTTGAAAGCAAATACTAAAACTCCATCCATAACCTCTCTCTCACCATAGTGGAAAGTTTGTCACTCATAACATGTTAAGCAGCTCAGGGGGAGGAGAACTGTACTGAATCCCTGATGGGCAGGAATTCTTAGCACAACTAATTCAGCTTTGAGGAACTGAAAATGTGGAGAATTGCAAGTTCTCATACTTAATTAAGAGGCTGCTGTTTGGGGGTAAGGCTTTGGGATGCGTTGTCAGGGCTGTGCCAGGATACCTAGCTTAGCAACACTGCTGACCTGCACCAGACCTGATTTAAGTGCAGTAGTAACTATTGTTACCCGGCAGTGGAGCAGTGTTCAGTCCTCCAGCGCTGTCAAACCCCAGCCTATAAGCAAAAAGGTAGAGTGAGTGAGTGAGGGTATTTATAATCCTTGCATTTGCATTTGATACAGCACCTTATCATGACTTTGAGACGTCTGAAAGCGCTTCACAGAATATACTGTAAAGTGAATTGACTGTATATTTTGTAGGCGAAACGTACCAAATATACGAAACGTATTTTTGGTAATTATTAAACAGATTCTGCTGAATGATTCAGTCAATGGGTATAAAGAATTAATATCAGGTTATTTTTGTGTCTGACGTTCCATACAAGGACATTATTGTCCAAGATTTTACCTATTCAGACACTATGGCCATTGTTTCGTGCTGTATGGCACAGGACAATGAAAACATTTTTAAAAAACTCCAAGACAGAGGGGGCATAAGTTTCCTGTGTTGCATTCCCATCTTGTCCTAACAATGGATGACCTTACAGTGACATAAACTAGTAGCGCACATGAAATGTAATGAACTTGAGAAGCAAACGAGCTTGGGCTGATGACAGGCACCAGGATATAGCAGTGACAGAGTCATTAGTCAACTCCACACAGGTAAGATCGCCACTATTTATCACAGAGCTATTTCTGAGTTCACCATCAATGCTGCTTTTTTATAAAGATACTAGTTTCAAACTTTTCTTATACAAAGTCCTTGGGAATTATTTAAATGCAATTAAAAGATATGAAACCCCAATTTGTTTTCAAATGGCCTTTCTATATCAGCTATAATGGTATCATTGAGGACTGTGCTAGCAGTATATTCTAAGAAGTTTATAGCTTCATTGGATAAATTAAAACGCAGCAGTCTCTTATAATGCAAGACCAATTTGAAAGCAAATTTAGGCAATCATTAGAGTGATAAATGTAACATTTCCTAACAAATTTGATGTGGATCTATTGCAAAAAGTCAAATTTTTCCTTCCATTCCTAATGAGCAGCCGTGGAAGTCACCATCTTTGCAAGTTTGACCAGGCCATCAGTCTCCTTGCATATTGCTCCTTGACTGATTTATTTTCAGGCCCTGAAGTCAGCGTTTAAATTTGCTTCATAGGAAGTTTGAGTTACGTCAGTATCCTGGACCATTTTGCTTTCAAGCTCTTTGAGACGTCTCGATGGCATGATAAGGTGCTGTATTAAACCCAAGGATTTTAACTTTTTATTATCTACTGCACTGATATGGTGATCTCAGTTAAGCATGGAACGTGAAGAAGTTCATGCCCCACACTATGTGAGGCAGAGGGGGGCTGGGGAGGATGGAGAGTTCCCCAACTACCCATCCCAAAACCTCTAAGGTTCATGAGATGGTTAAAAAGTGAATCCTGCTCTGATTTTCCCTCCGTCGAATTACTTCTCAATACCTCCATAGGTGGCACAGCAGAAAACAGAAAGTGAACATGGAATCTCTGTCTCCTACCTCCTGAATGAAAGTATTTTGCTGGGGGCTAAAGTTTACAGAGAAGTAGGTTAAATCTGGCCGTTTCCCTTGAGACTCTGAAACAGTTATCAGAACGAAGAGATAAACATATCATCTCCTCATGCTGGATTTTAAACCAGGTTGCACAGGCCAGAAAAAATCAGTTTCTGGCCACTGAATTGCACCAACTTTTTCGATCAATTGATTGGAAGGAGCACTGTTTATGAGAACATTTATATCGATTATATTTAGTAAGAGATTTTAACTGGCAAGTAAGTAGGTCAATAAAATGGATAGACTCTCTACATTAATTCCTAGGAGTGAAAAATATGATTCAAGACTGCATTATATAAAATTAGTTTGTATTGGCCTTTACTCAAATCCCTACAGGTTTTCTAAACCCTCCAATCAAACAATTTCACGTCCGATAAAATACAACACAAATGATTTAAAGTGTGTGGTGATGGCTCCTTATTGGCTTGTATCAATATCCATTAAACTAGGATTCTCCATTATTTCAAGAATAGCCATTTGGTGAGAAAATAAATTGATACGGATTTTGAATTTCATACTTAAGGCTGTTTTGACTCTGGCTGTCTCCTCCCAATGAATTATTTGCAGTGAAACATATACATGTTGTTGATACAAAGATATATGAAAACATAAAAACACAGGCATGGGAACAGGCCAGATGCCTCATCTAATCTGTTGTGCTATTTATAATAATTCTTGAATTTGTTATAATGCCTGCCATGCTGTCAAAATGTCTCAAATTCACAGAATTTACTGTAAAGTAATTTACTGTGTATTTTATAAGTCAACAGCACAGCCAACTTGTGTACAATACTGCCCACAAACAGCTATGTGTGTCCAGGTGACTCCTTTGGTAGCGCTCTCACCTCTGAGTCAGAAGTTTCTGGATTAAAGTCCCACATCAGGCTCAGAACTCATATAAATTAGGCTAATACTTCAATGCAGTGTGCTGCATTGTTGGAGGTGTGGTGCTTCAGAAGAGCCTTCAAACCAAGGTGTCATGTTCAGATAGACATTAAGGATTCCATGGCACAATTCGAAAAGAGAAAGGTGTCTGTATTACCATAAATAAATCTAATTGATTTCTTTAAGCCAAGAAATGATGCATGATACAAAGTGACGTATGTATCCCAGAACCAACCTCAATTCACTGCCGATTCTGGAACTGACTTACCAGACTGTGCAATGTGTTAAGAGCAGATTATTAGAACCTGCTATCCTGCAAGTGTTGCATTATACATACAGATAACAATAATATAATCCTTGCCATTGAAATAGTGCTTTATCATGTCTTTGAGACGTCTCAAAGCACCTCACAGAATATACTGTAAAGTGAGTTGACTGGGCAAAACAGCACACAGCAGTGTCCCACAAACCGTCATGAGTTGAGTGGACCAAATTATTATTATTATTTATTTTTGGAGGCATTATTACCCCCGGAAAAGCGATCTGCCAATCAACTAACAACTGGGTTCCTACTAGGTAAACAGAGGTGTGTGGCAAACTTGCCTAAGTTTTCGCCCTGGTCGGGAATTGAACCCAGATCCTCTCGCTTGAGAGGCGAGTACTCCACATAGTTTGTAATTACTAGACTTCAACAATCTCGAGAGAATGTTGCTGCTTTTTTCAATCTCACCGCTCCCATAATAGGCCATTTTCAAGCAAAAATGCTTGGACAGAAGATCTACTCCTTTGCTTTGACAAAAAAGCAGTTATTTTGAATGCCTAAACCCCAAATAGCCTTACTCGTAGACACTTTACAAAATATGTTTGGATTGCATGAGCAGATGAAGAATTTTCTTCCAAATTTTGGAAATATTTGGCAGGACACCGACACCGTCATGATCTGAGTCATGGCTGCCTATCTGGCCAGGTGTGGAAAGTGTTGGGTTCTTCCCCAACTGCTCCTGCGCCAACACCCAGTCCTCAAAACAACAACATTTTTTAGTTACCAGGGGCAGATGGCTGCTTTCATCATTGGCATTGAAAATCAGTAGCCTTGCACTGAAGTGGAAGGGGAGCAGCAGGCTTCACGTGGAATAGCTCCAGACAGCAACAAGGAAACAATGGTATAACTGACAGCCTTTTTGGCTGAGGTAAGGAAAAATAATTCTTTTCCACCTTAATGATGCTACCTACAACCTGAAGCTTACAAAGAATATAAGTTAGCACAAGAGAACTGTTTATGGGCACCATCCCATCTACTTGAGTTATAATCACCTTCACAGTTGAGCAACTTCAGACTTCAGAAAGACTTGGACATTGTTTTACATTGTGGAAAAAGCAGCTGAGCCCACAACTATTTATCAGCATTTATAAGAGAAAATGGACCTTGCATTCTAAGAACTCCCGCACTTTCACTGTATGGTTTTAGACTGTTGTTTACACCAAGTGCCCTGGGGCACCATTATTTCCATTGTTTAAATGTTTGTGTCATCTATTTGTATATGGTTAAAACTATCTTCATCTATAAATCTTTTCATACTTTAGCACCTCTCTCTCTGTGACCCCTGCTTGCTCCCTCTGCTCTGCTAACTGCTATGCTCCACCAACCGTTGCCGAGCCTTCAGCCACTATACCTCTAACTTGTAGAAATTCCCTCTCACCCCCACCCTCCTTCTCACCTGTTTCTATATCTGTCTTTAAATCCTGCCCAAAATCCTACTCTTGACCGAGCCTAGATTCACTTCCCTCTTGCTCAGTGTCCGATCATGGCCTTATGAAGTATTCTGAGAGGTTATTCTGCATGAAGGATGCTATATAAATGCAAAAAAGGTTGTCTGTATTTGTGCAAATTCTTCATAAGGTATCTTTTATAGCGGTGAAGAAATGTTAAGAGTATAAAGCTTTTATTATTATAATTTTCAGTGAATATGTTTACACTTTGAAAGCCTCTGTAAAAGCTTTCATTTCTCCTGTGCTTCATAAGAGGATTTTTTTTTACATATTTATATACAGCGGAGCCCTGTTATAAGGCGATAGTTAGAGCCCATAAAATCAAGCTTTCCACCTGAAGAAATGTTACCTACAGAAAAAAATGGGCTGGATAAAGCAAAAGCAACAATCACTCCGGGCATACCGTGGACCAGAAATGATGGTAGACCACTGTCATTGTTCTTTCCTCAGTGTGCAAGAGAGATAAGTCATGAAGTCATGAGCAAGTTTCAAAGGATGGTCTTTATTTCTGTCAGTCTTTCTACATTGTTTTGCATTTTGGTACATTGTACATTTTCCTTTCATACTACACAGTTTATAATTCAATGATGATTCTGCTGACACAGTTATGTATATATGGGAGTAGGATTAACCACTTGAGGTCTGAGACCTGAATATTTTCAAGGTTTTAGGCTTCAGACCATTGTCTTAAAATTGAAGATATTGTAGAAGTTTGGAAAAAATCAGTCTTAATTTGGAGACATTATTTCTGCAGTTTGTTTTTTTAAGCCAAATGTGCCGAATGGAAATTGAGATATTTAAAAGATACAGAACAAAGGCACATTTGAAGAGATGTGTTTCTGGATGTTTCAAAGGCAGGGTGCAAGACCAAGACAAAGTCAT